CTGTTAGAAGCTTCATAATCTATTATTTATAGTCCATAAATTCCAACGTCAAAAAGCGTTCCTATTAAACGAATTTTGAAGTTTTACCTGCCTTTTCTTCAATAGAATATAAAACTTCTTTTTAATTTATTTCTAAATTATTTTTCAACAGTTTTGCCGACAGACTGAAACTGGTGCATACCTAGTTACACATCGTTCGGGAATTCTCTTCAGTTGTCTATATCGGATAGTAATAAAGAAACGAAATACATTCGAAATTTCAAAATTATCTTTACTCGCAGCGTTTCGAATATTTTTCACATTAAATGTTAACGTTGTAGGATACGACGACAGTCGATGCAGGATACGGACAACCAGGTCCAACTGGACCAAAAGGCGATCGTGGCATGCCTGGAGCACCTGGATATTTGGGACCACAGGGCATCATGGGACCACAGGGACCGAAAGGAGATAGAGGATTCGATGGTACCAATGGTCCACCTGGACAAGGTAGGATTAAAACCGTTGCCTCACTCCTTGTTAGTTATTAAATTTTTTCTTCTTGTAGCTGGGCAACCGGGTCAAAGAGGACCAAAGGGAGACAGTGGACGTCCTGGTAAGCGATAAATGAAAATCTAATCACTAAAGTTGTTACTATTTAATTGTTGTTCTTCAAATGTAGGTGATCCTGGACCGGCTGGTTTTGCTGGACCTCAAGGTAATGAGAACTAAATTCATCTGGAAATTTAGAGAAATGTATTATGAATAAGCATTTCTATAATAATACCCCATCATCTCGTTTCAGGATATCGGGGTGCTAAAGGAGAACCAGGACCAAAAGGTAAGAAGAATGTTTCTAGAAATAAGACTCTACTTCAATATTTCATTCAATTTTCAGGTGAACCGGGCAGATCAGCTCAAGGACCGCCTGGTATTGATGGATATCCCGGAACAGCAGGAGTACCTGGTGGAAAAGGTAATAACACTTACTGTGTGATTACTTACGTTATCTGTTTTATCCTACATTACAGGTGACCGGGGTTTGCCTGGATTACGCGGTCTTCCTGGAAACTCATCATCTGTCGGTGGATCACCAGGTCCTCAAGGAAGTGAGTTTTTATTTTGGAAAAAAGGAAAAAAAATGTGCACTTTTATTGTAAACTTATTAAATATGAAATTTCTATTTTAGTTCCTGGTCCTATGGGACAACCTGGTGCTCCTGGTTTTCAAGGTGTTCCCGGAACAAAAGGCCTTAAAGGAGATAGAGGTAAGTAGATTGGTAATAGTTATCTTTCACTTCTTTTCTTATCACGATTTCAACAGACAGATGAATCGAGCGCATGAAAAAAACATGTTTATTAACGCTTTTGTGACACAAAAACAAAAGTTTTGAAAAATTTAAAAATATTTCGATCAAAAGCAAAGATTTCATAGTCAAGGTTTGACCACTGGATATGAATTTTCAGTTGTTTACTGATGAAATCAAATTCATGTATTAATGAATAACATTTGTAATATATATATCTATTAAATTCAAGGTTTGGACGGTGTTTGTGGTTCACGAGATGGATTGAAGGGAGGCAAGGGCGAACCTGGTCAGTTAACCTAACAAATAATAGAAAATATTATTATCTAACAATTCTATTTTTCTTTTTCTAGGTTATCCTGGTGATGCAGGTACTTTTCTCTTTCAATCTTTATTTTCTTAATAATCCTCATATGTTCTAAATTAAAATAAATCTTATAGTCGAGCAGCATCAAAATATAATATTATTATTAATTATCAAGAGTCATAATATGTAATCTGCGTTTTTGTGTCTTTAGGAACACCTGGTCAACGAGGAGGTTCTGGTGATAAAGGAGAAAGAGGTATGTATTTCAGAATGTTTAACTAACATTTTAGGAAGAATTTTCAATATAAAAAAGAACACCTACACTGTATGTCATTATCGTATCATTCTCTTTTCTTAGGTGATATTGGACCACAAGGTTATCCAGGAGGAATCGGTGCAGCTGGTCTACCGGTAATTTATTCTCTCTTGAAATTTTTTTGGCTTTATATCTAGCTGTAAAAAAGTTGAGTAGAGTGGAGAAACTGTGTCTGAGAACGTCGTCTCTTAAAGATGAGGACTTACCTATACAATCTCGAATAGAACGTATCTCTCAAACAGCCTAACTAACTAGTAATGATTTCAAGTTCAAGTTGTTAGCTAAACTTTAATTCACATCTTTAGGGTACCCCTGGTGTTGATGGTATACCGGGAAGTAAAGGAGACAAGGTAGGTTGAAATACAAAATGAATGAATCTGGTGATTCAAAAGAAAGAATTGTTGTGATTCTACGTTTAGGGTGAACCAGCTCGTGTGTCAACAGTGCAAGGAATGTCTGGTGAAAAAGGAACACCAGGTGAGTGTTTCAGCAAATTGACAGTGGTTCAATTGCGAAAGCAATTACTGATGGCTTCTTCTTTCTCATTTAGGATTGCCGGGCTTGAAAGGAGATAGAGGTGATCGAGGTGAGTACATCATATCAAGTTTGCTTCTGAATGGTTAAAGACTTATTCTGTAACATCTTTGAGTCAAATAAGGAAGGAATTTCATGGATTAAGAAGAGACCTGAGATCTTAATTAAATCTCTTGGTAAAACTCACTTTGTTCTTTTAGGTGCTGCGGGTTATAGTGGCAGAGATGGACAACCAGGAACTATGGGACCTATGGGACCAAAAGTACGATAAGTTTTGACTGACGAACATTAACTTAATGTAACTATTTTTGTCACTTTAGGGCGATGCCGGTATGACGAAGTTTCGAATGACTTTTTGTTATAGACGAGCGAAATGAGAGGTCATACATAATGGAATTTTTCTATTTTAAGGTTATCCTGGACAACAAGGACCTCCAGGAAGTCCCGGACCAATGGTAGGCACATCATATCACACTCACTATATACTGTTCAAATAAACGTATCTTGCTGACCAACTGAGATCTTAGAAAGGGATAATATTTTTTACGGTTATACTTCGCTTTTTATAAGTGACATGGTTTGCACTCTAGAATGATAGTTTTTCACGTTTAAATTTAATACTCCTAGTTTAAGTTGAATGAAAATTATTTATTAATGAATGATCTTCTGCATTAATAGGGTGATCTTGGTCCTCCTGGATTATCTTATCCAGGTGAAAAAGGAGAAAAAGGCATACCAGGACCTGTTGGTAAGTACAACATTTTATCATGTGTTATATCATATGATTTACTATAATTATTTAAATACTAAATTTTAAAAGTTCGACAATCATACTGATTTTATGGTTGGCAGCAATAGAATCTTCAGCGTAAAATTTCATGATACAAAACGGTCTATTCACTTTTTAGGAAATCCCGGAATTCCCGGCAGCGCAGGAGCAAAGGGTAAAGTTATCTGTTTTTTTGAATATCTGATTTATTAATTCTATTCAATCTTTCTTATTCTTGTAGGAGAGCCAGGTAATATTTATATGACTTTTATTACGTTAGTATTATGAACTGAGATAATTGCTCGCTATTACAGGACGATCTTTTGCTGGACCAGTTTCCGCACCTGGAAGTATCGGAGAGAAGGGTGAGTTGATTTAATCGTATTTTCGTCGAATAGACAACATGTACGTTGCTTTTAGGTGATCGTGGTTATCCTGGAGCAAATGGTATACCAGGTTCACAGGTTCGTACAACTCAGGAAACATGGTAATTGTAATTTATTGACAGTGATTGATTCTACAGGGCCCAGCTGGTTTACCAGGAGCAAATTGTTCAGTGGGAATCAGAGGTAAGCGAGACAAATGACAATTTTTGTCTAGAAAATGAATATTATTTATTACACTGGCATACAAGAACTTCAACTTCACGATCTGTCTTATAGGAGATGCTGGAATGCCTGGCTTGCCCGGTGCAATGGGACAGAAAGGAATCACAGGTATGTACATCTACGTTTTTTCGATAGTAAATATTCGAGAAATAGACTAAATAGTAAACTTTTTCTAATAAATACACTTTTTTTATAGGACAAAGAGGAGAACCAGGACTTCCGGTAAGTAAATGTATAGCTTATGATTATCTACCAAGAGGCACGACTAATATTATTTTAGGGCCGCGATGGATCACCAGGACTACCAGGACCGAAAGGCTACGGTAAGTTTTTCTCATGAAAAATACACAATAGTTTTAAAATAAAGTTTACTGTAGCTGCTGATAAAACTTCTTATTTCAATCTGCGAAGGCTGTGTAAACTATGATTATCAGCTAATTTTCTTATAAACAAGCCATATATCTATTGAACTAATCAAATATTTTTTTCCTCTAAATTTTAGACGGCATGCCTGGCGCACCCGGTCTAAGAGGTTCGTTGAGATATGGATTAGGAAATATCTTGATGAATGTGTCTAATCGTTTTCAGGAGAGAAGGGAGATGCTGGCTTGCCTGGTCCAGGATTTCCAGGTACGATTACGTGTTTTTATTTATAGCTTTTAAACTTCACATAACTTTGTTATTCATTATAGGAGCACAAGGATTACCTGGTGAAAAGGGAGACAGAGGTTTTCCTGGTAAGTGATTATCGAAGTTGGTTGTGTTTATCTGAATAACAGTTATAAAACAAGATTCTAGCATTCTCTGCATTCTCTCACGAAAGTCCTTACGAGAGCTGATAAAAATTGTCCATCTGTTCCCTTCTCTTTCCCATATACATGGACGATGTAGACAGACGTATATTTCTTTACAAAGAAACATTTTTTTGGAATTATGTTCATGATTACTTTAGAAATTAACGAAATCTTTTTTATTACAGGTCAAGCAGGAAATATTGGTGAATCAGGATTGCCAGGAGCGAAAGGTAATTTTTTTAGTTAAATTTCTTTTAAATTTGATAACCAGTATTTAATTGGAATTTAATTAACGAGAATTCTCTCAGTAGTAGCAGATAAATAAATTCTGTGTATTTTCATATTGTGATGCATAAGGTTAACTCAATATTTTTCATTTTATAGGTGAAGCCGGTTTACCAGGAGCAAATGGCTATCCAGGATTACTTGGACCAAAAGGGTAACAATGATAGAAAGTCAATCTATTGCACACAGAATCTTGTTTAGACTATTTCAAAAACATGTAGTTCAAATAGTACTGACCTGCTGAACTCCTATTGTAGCTGATGAGATCATTATACTAAATATTAGACGCTATTAAAACCTTGAACGTTATATAGATATTAGGCTATAAACTTTAAAATTGTAACATTTTTCCGAAACTTTATTGATCAAACAATCTTTTTTAGTGATCGTGGTGAACCGGGATTTGCTGGACTGAAAGGTATGCAACACTTTCTACATTCACAATCAACAGTTAAACAGTTTTTCTATTTCATGTTTTTAGGAGATCAAGGTTTACCTGGCCCACCCGGTCTTGACGGTAAGTTATTTTTCATCCTAACATTGAACTAATATCAGATTGTTCTCTTTCTTATTTTAGGCGCACCAGGTATGTTATTTTTGGTTTTCAAGCGATTGAATAAACACACATAATAAATAAACTCAAACTTTTCTAAAAAAGAAATAATCAAGTCAGAAGAGATTCAATTATTTATTTTTCTAATGATGTTAGAAACGAATATACGTCAGTTATTTGCTGTAAAGAGAGAATAACTACGCTTCAATAGAATATCTATTATATTTTCTGTGTATTTGAACTTCGGACAAAGTTAATTTTTCTCCACTCTGAACTAAACAAATCAACACAATAAAATAATTCATTCAACTCATCCTACTGACATGATATTATCATATAACAGAGTTAAAGTTCTCATCAAAATGTGCTTTTCAGCATGCTTTTCGATATGAAACTATCTTTCGTATATATATATACTGATTAATGTTATTTTTCACTTTATTAGGACCAGTTGGACCATCAGGACCACCAGGTCAACCAGGTCTCAGTGGAGAAAAAGGATTTCCAGGAATGCCGTAAGTATTATTAGAAATGTGTTCATGTTCAACCATCAAAGTAGAATGATGCAACAGGACGAAAAAATGAGGCACTAGTATAAAAAAGTAACACAATAGGCTAGTGTTTATTAATTTAAAACAACTTATTTAAAATTGAACTTGCGCAATTTTTTAAATTCTATGTGGTTTGCTATCTCTGACACTTTATGTAACAACTTTTAGAGGAGCAAATGGAAATCCCGGATTGCCAGGCATGATTGGTCAGAAAGGTGAGTACACTTTTGAATAGTATGTTTCATCAATGAATGCAAATGGAAGTGATACTCATCAGATAAATTTTGTCATACTCTTCTGGAAAACAAACAATCAACGGTCACATGTATTTCTCACGACTAGCACAAAATATAATCTTGAAAATATTTCCGAGTAGAATAACTCTAACACATTTATTTGTATTTAAATATTCAGTTCACATTCTTATACTAAATAAATTGATGTCATTGTTTAGGTGAACGAGGACTTGATGGTAGACCTGGAAATGAAGGAACTCCCGGACTTCCAGGTAAATATAAATAAAAATCAATTTTAACTTAGTCAACAAGTATTACAAGAATGTAAACTCATAATCATCGTTTCTTTTAGGTGACAAAGGTGTTGTAGGATTTCCAGGACCTAGTGGATCATCGGGATTACCGGGACTTCCGGTACGTATGTAACATTGGATGTAACTGAGAGCTACAATGTTTCTTGGAACAATTTTCCAGAAGACATATTTCTCTAATGTTGATAGCAAATAGTAAGAATAGTCGATAAGAGGAAAAAAATTTATTACTTTACAAGTTTTCTATTGTTTATTCGGAAAGGCCACCTGCGTTATGTTGATACTTTATCGAATTGGTATTATTCGCACTTCAAACATACTAATCTGTTTTTTTTTATAGGGTTCATTTGGACCAAAGGGTGACAAAGGTATGTAATATTGCTGTTCTCTTATCACAACCATTGGTATATACGCAATTATTCGTTTTTTTCTCATCAGGTCCACCTGGTCAACCGGGGCCGCAGTGTTTACAATGTGCAAGCGGAGCAAAAGGTAAAGTAAAGCGTAGAATTTTTTTACTAATAAATTTATGCTTTATTCGTTAACATTCTTTGTTCTGATTTCAGGTGATCGAGGGTTCCCAGGCCAGCCAGGTTTACCGGGAGGAAAAGGAGAACCGGTAGGTATATTATAGTATTCTAAATTGTATTTCAGACAAAGTATGAAAGATAAAATAAATTTTTCTAATTGGAATATTTCGTGAGCGTAAGAATAATCGACGTACAAAGCACATAGCGTAATAACGACACTACACTCTTATTTTCTTAGGGCTCTGCTGCTTCAAGAGGATCACCAGGAGAAAGGTAAATATTTCTGGATTAAGTGTAAATCATTGAATCGAATCTGGTTTACAACGAAATTCAACATATAAATTTCTTTTCAGAGGACCGTCCGGTCTTCCAGGTGCCCCAGGGTTAAGCGGACTTCCAGGTAAACGGTGGAGAAACACAACTTTTTTATATTTTACACGAATTGACAGAGATACAACGTCTAGCATAGTTTAGATCTCTAAAGCTGCTCTGTGACATAAAAGCCTTGCCAATATCATATAAAAATGGGAAAACTTATGCATGCGTATGCATTGTTAGACGTTGTTGTATTGCGCTGAACTTTAGTAGAAGTTAAAACTAACAACATTCATCTTTTATAGGCAAAGATGGTTTACCCGGTCTTCCAGGTCAAAAAGGAGAAAGAAATGTTGGGCCGACAGGTAAATATTTTTACATTATATTCGAAAAACTTTTCAATTGTTCTTCGAAAAGAAGAAAACTAAAAACTACACTTAAATAATCTAATATGATTTCTCATGCAATTTACAAAAGGTTCGTTTCTCCTTTATAGGAATCAAAGGCGCAATCGGTGAATCAGGTAAGCTAGCAAGTTTTCTCTCAAAAATCTTTAATATAACTACCATTTTGCTTTTCAGGCTTTCCTGGCGCACCTGGCCAAATGGGACCGGCAGGAGAAAGAGGATTACCCGGAACCAATGGTAATAGATGTCACCAATGTTAGCACGGTTCTAAGTTGTTCTAATCATTTTTTTCTTTTTTAGGATTGCCCGGAACACCAGGAGAAAGAGTAAGTTCTTGACAAAACTATGCATGCATTTGTGTTCGTGAACACTTTGTCAGAAAATTAGTACTTCAGTGCGATTCGGCGCATCCAAAAATTGTCAAAATCTTCTCGTAGTGTTATTCACATAGCACTAAATATGTAATGAATCGCTCAAAAAGATTTTTATTGAGAAGGATTTTGTGTATTTATTTTGCAGTAAGATACCACCAGGTTTAACCAGTTATTCTAATTTTTATTATAGGGTTTACCAGGAGCCCCTGGCTTGCCAGGTATAAAAAAGATTTCTCTATATACTTCTATTCTATTATGATTCCATTTCGTTTAATTTCAGGACAACAAGGAGCACCCGGATCAAGTGGTGCAAAAGGTAAATTCGCCTTTTTTCAACTTTATTTAATCATTGTAGGGCTGTTTCGCAAAAAAAAGTATTGTTCATGAATAAACTATAGACACAGTGTCTTGATCGTCTTTCTGAAGATGTTTTTCAGTGGACTTAAAAAAGCCGTACTTCCTCATTTGTTCTCAGATCTTCTGTTAAATCACTGTGTAAAAACTTTGTGCGGGCTCTTGTGTGTACATTTGCATTCTTATTGTTAATCTCTCTAGGTGACACTGGATATAACGGATTACCTGGACAAAAAGGTGAAAGTGGATTACCAGGTAAGACTTCTTTGCTAGAACGACATTGATCATACGACTAAATACATCAATTTTCTTTTATAGGCCTTAATGGACCACCAGGATTAAATGGTTTGTCATTCATTATAATTGAGAAGTGTAGTTGTATAACTAACATGAGATTGTTTTTTCGCAGGTAGCCCTGGAGCTAAAGGAGAGCCCGGAATCCCAGGACGAGATGGAGGTGCAGGTATGCCCGGAATAAAGGTATGTAATGTTTAGTAAAAGAAGCAAAGCTGTCTTCTAACCATTCTGTTGAATTGTTGATTTAGGGTGACAGAGGTCTAAACGGCTATCCAGGTAAGCGATTAAAGAGCTCTTCTTATGAATTCTAAACCACACACATTTTTATTTCTCTATAGGACTAGCGGGTGCAAAGGGAACAGCTGGTATGCCTGGTAAGTGAAAAACTGTTTATTGTTCTCTTCAAATAGTTATAAACATAGCTTTAAACTACTTTTAGGTCAACCGGGACCTCCAGGTTTAGCAGGATCACCTGGCGGACCAGTAAGTCATTTTACAAAATACGGATCATGCTATATTTCGTACAGAACATAAATAGACATATCATATCGTAATATGTTTTAGGGATTATCAGGAATGCCAGGATTAAAAGGTAAAGTCTACATTTATTGTATAAAAATTTTTCTTTGATTTTACTCGAACAGGCAGACGACCAGATCTCGAATCGATCGATGTTTTGAAACTGCAATTCTTTGACAATAAGAACGATTTTTTACTTGTCATTCAAGAAGTAGGAATGATTGGCACAGTCGATCTGAAGTATCTAAAACTTAGAGTAACATGAGGAAATCAACAAAAGTAATAGAAGCTATTTATTTTACTATACGTCCCAATTACCTAGATGCATAACGACTGGAATCGATATTTAATTTAGGATATTTTAATGGATCAATAACGACAAAAATGATGCCATTTACTTTGCGCGTAGTAGTAATTTTAGATTATATCCAGTGCTGTAGCCATGGATATGAGATTTAAGATTTGAAAAACATCATTGATGTCAATCGATCTAACAGTTTAAGTAGAAAGAACTACAATCTATGTTCATAGGAATAAGGACTGACCGTTCTCCATTTAGAGAACGAAAACCTAAAGTATCAATCGCTCACAACCAATGATGCTAGCGCATACTGTTTTTTCCAAAAAATGTGCATAAAACGAATGTTCTGTGCACTTCTCTATATTAAATATCTTAATATTGTAAATTGAGACTTGTCTTGCTTTCTAGGTGAACCTGGCTTTTCCGGTTTACCAGGATCGAATGGTAGGCAAAACCGTTGCTTTTCTTATGCGCAATCTTGACTTGATTTTCTTTCTTTCTTTCAGGAGCACCAGGTCTACCAGGGGCTTCCGGTCTTCCAGGTGATATTGGTAAGGAGATTATGATCAAAAATGTTTGCTTTCAAATTCTTTTATTGTGATCATAAACGCCTTTAAAATTCGTTTGTACACTTTTTAAGGACCATCTGGATTACCAGGACAGAAAGGAGAACCAGGTAAGAAAAAACTTAGTTTCTTTAGATGTTAAACTAAAAGCGAATAATCTTTTCTTTCCAATTGAAGGTTACGCTACCGCTGGGCCAAAAGGAGAACCTGGTGTACCAGGACGTGACGGTATGCCAGGTCTGCCTGGAGAGAAAGGGTATGCTTACTCTGATGCGTTTTCAACTTTACGAATATACATTTGAACTGATCGTTTAGAACTCCGGGATCTGTCGGTCTACCAGGTCAAGCAGGACGAGATTGTGATGTACCTGCTTATGGTCAGGTAAACTGGAGTAACCTAATTTCATTTAAAAACCATTAAATACAGCACTTTTTTTATTTTATTTTTTCTCTTTTATTTTTAGAAAGGAGATGGTGGCTTACCAGGTAAGATTTCATTTGATAAATCTATTTACATCACAGTTGAATACCATTAAACTGTAAACATCTATTTTCTGTTTGACAGGCCTTCCAGGCAACCCAGGGTTACAAGGTATGTTAGGTTATTTCTTGACTACGTGTTTACGTTTATTATATGATTAAGCCAAAAATTTATTTAATTTTTTTTCTATTTTTTCTAGGCCCACCTGGTCTTCCAGGAAAAGATTGTAAGTATTAAGATTGAAGTTGCAAACAGAATATACAACATTCCTTGTCTTATTTTTTATTTAGGTCCACCAGGTCAACCAGGTGCACCAGGCCTTCCAGGAGCTAAAGGACGAGATGGAAATCCAGGAATGAATGGTCAGCCTGGACAACCTGGTGAAAGAGGCTTTTCTGGAATGCCAGGTATGTTCAAAAAATGAAACAAGCAAATTTTCTCCTCCATTCACACCGTAATTATTTCCCTTATTCTAGGCCAACCAGGTGACGCAGGAATGAAAGGTAAGAACTTTTTTCTTACGCATATTTATCAAGTGAACTTTAGATGAAGTGAAAATGCCAATTAAAATTATATAATCAATCTTGTAGTACAATAGAAACTAGATTTCTTTAATCGAGATAGAGAACAATAATTTTCAGAAACAATTTTGATCCTATGCATTTTTTTCTTGATTTCAATTTGTGCAAATCATTCTTATTTTATGTTTTAGGAGTACCCGGTCTTCCCGGTGCACTAGGTATGCAATTTTGTATTTGTTTTAAAGTCGCTTTAGAATTGTGATGAATAAACCATTCATTTTTTTAAAGAAGATAATTTACTGATAATTAACCTCACAGTTTTCTCTTTCGCGAAAACAATAGTCGTTTTTTTTATGCACAGCATAATAAACAATTGTTTTCGCTTAGTTTTGTGCTGCATTTTTATGTTTACATTTGTTCATTCTGTTTAGGCTTACCAGGTGCGAAAGGTGAACGAGGTTTTGATGGACGCCCAGGAAATCCAGGTCTACCAGGTATGTACGCTATTCGACATTTTTTTGTTTTAAATAAGTTTATTAATATGAGTAATTTCTAACTTTTATGAGTTCTATGAAATTTATGGTATCAATCTATTTAGGTCCACAAGGATTAAAAGGGGAATGTGTTCAAGGTCCATCTTCCCTTGGCGCGCGTGGTGACAAGGGTGATATGGGACTAATGGGACCACCAGGTACATAGAAATGTTAAAAAAATATTCAGTCGTTCAAACAATTGATAGCTATAGTGGCGATTCAGATAATCTGAACAGAAACGCTTATTTATACTTTTAAAATTGATCATCGATATCTTATCAAAGAAATAAGTTCGAAAAATATAAGCGAGGTTACGATCCTTTTGTTTTAAAGAACAGAAGAGTCTGCAAAATTAATAGAGTTTTTATAACTGAAGGAAAATGAATCGAGAGAAATATTCTCTTAGTTCAAAAATTATGTGACAAAAAACTTCTAAGAGTACGTTCACCACATACAGATTATTCTTAAATAAATCTTATATTTCTAGGTCTTCCCGGACTTCAAGGACCACCAGGTAATCTGTGAAAATTTCCAGTGTAACACATTCATGTTTGCCTCTCGAAGTTAATTTTTTAACTAATATATGGATGCTATAATAATCTTAGCTATTAAAACTGTTTCATTTTGATGGTTGTTCTAGGCTATGCTGGACAACCGGGAGAAAGAGGACCACCAGGTATGAAAACATTTGATCGATTGGTAAGAATAGACACAAATTAAAACTTCTTATTTCGATTATTATAGGACAACCCGGTTCACCAGGCTTGCCCGGATATATGGGTCCCAAAGGAGACAGAGTATGTGGTTTGAGTGTTGTAGATGAAAAAAAGTCAAATTTTTAAAACGATTATTTACTTCAGCTATCATTTGTACTATATTATAGGGTATACCTGGTGTTAATGGTATCAGTGGTTTATCCGGTCCTCCAGGTTTGTCCATCGCTCATCTTTTAGACTTATTTTCTAACTATTTTTATTCTTAATCGTAGGACCAAGTGGACCACCAGGTGTTCCAGGTATTGGTTTACAGCGAACTGGCTTTACGATTGTACGACATTCCCAATCGTCACAAGTTCCTGACTGTCCATCTGGCATGCAAAAACTCTGGGATGGTTACAGTTTACTTATGATGCAAGGAAATGATCATGGTTATCATCAAGATCTTGGTATGTTTTGTCCTCTTTTGTAACTATACCAGTAGACGATGATTTTCTTGTGTTTTTTCTCTAGGCTCAGCTGGTTCATGTCTTCAAAAGTTTTCCGCACTACCCTATTTACGATGTGATCATACAAATGTTTGTTATTACGGTCAAACAAATGACTTAACATATTATTTATCAACAACAGAACCGATGCCAATGATGCCTGTTCAACGTGATCAAATTCGTCCATTTATTAGTCGATGTGCTGTTTGTGAAGCACCAGCAAATGTTATGTCATTCCACAGTTTATCAATGACTCCACCAGCATGTCCCAATGGATGGAATATACTATGGCAAGGCTATAGTTTTGTGATGGTAAATCTATAGTGTTTTCTCTAATAGTTGTTAGAGCTCATTATATTATTTTTTCTTAGCATTTGGGTCGTGGTAGTCAAGGTGGTGGTCAATCATTATCTAGTCCTGGCAGTTGTCTAGAAGATTTTCGCGCTACACCATTTATTGAATGCTCTGGTACAGATGGTAGTTGTATGTATTATGCAAATAAATTTAGTTATTGGATGACAACAATTGATCAAAATAATATGTTTGAAGTACCCAGACAAGAGACATTAAAATCGGGTAATCATCGACAAAAAATAAGTAGATGTTCGGTTTGTTTGAAAACGCAGCAAGGTGGTGGTGGTGGTACAGGATATTATATTCAGCCACTAAAGAAACATTGAACTAAATAAATAAACTATACACATATATGTTTCCACTAGTCAGGAAATGTATCTAAATTATCAATGTGATGTATCTGTCTTGTTATCATTGTTTGTTCCTCAGATAGAAAAAACAACACACACACACACCAATTAACATCTATAGGTAAATATTCAGCAACCTTTTCTCCCAAAGACACAATGAACTAATTTTTTTAAGAAATTTCTCTATACTATTTTTTGAGTTATAATAATACAATTTGAACAAACAAAATACGGTAATTTGATTGCCTTTCGACTGACTTGTTTTGTCCGGTTTTTATTTCGTTAAATGTATTAATTTTATTTTCTGTATGTTGCTTAATGTTTCTTCTTTTTTTTATTCTGTTTGATATTTCAAGAAATGAACGCGACAGATCGATTTCAATTTTTATATATTTTTTTGTGTCTTAGTTTTTTTATCTTACATTTTTTTTCAAATTAAAGAGAAAAGAACAAAACAAAAATAAAATGCTAAGTGAGAATCATGGATTGTAACTGCATACATTTTATCCTCTAATAAGAAAAAGTTAAATATTTTTATTTTTCATTCTATAAAAAACCAACTAATTCTCTTTCATACACTTATCAACATTGTATAATGCATAGAGAACAATCAATGAATAGATACACATTTTCTGTTCGTCTTGTAATGTAAGTACGTCTTATGTCATTGATTTTCAATTGTTCTATTTTTTCACCTATCAATAGTGTTAGTTATATAACAAATGTATTTTAGTTTTCTTTTTTGTTCATTATTCATTCTTCATTTATAATATAAATATTATACAACAGAAAGAACACACTTTATCTTAACTGATGACTAAATCAAAAGTTGCTTCACAAAAGTTGTTACACTTTGGCTTCCGGGAAAATAGCAGAATTTCTATGTCTTCTACACAACTGTTCCTGGTTTAAAAGAAATATTGCACATTGATTATCTGAACCATATCTATCATACCAATTCTATGATACATTTAAATCTCTTGGTGGTGTTACCTCTATTTTTTTCTTTTTCCAAATAATACTACAACGACTATCGATCTCTCATTCAACTGATAGCATGGATATCAACATAATCTTTCGAGTAATGTTTATGTGTTCAAAAACACGACGAAAGGTGTCCACAATTTAACAAACGTGTAGAATTCAAACAATCTAGAAATGTCATACTGTATCTTGGATTTATCGAAGGTACAACATAAACACTTGGAACGATGTGTATTATTTACTTAAGATCTAAAAGAATTTACAGCTATGCATTGGTACTTTTATTCAAATCATCTTTACAAGTGATGCATATGGTACTCTTTTAGTGTTTATAGGAAAGGATTTAGTCATTTCTGCCATTTTTTCAGGATCAAATCTATTTCTATCTAAACTAATGTATTGTAGTAATGGTACAACAGACATTTATCCTGTGAAAAAACCGATTCCAAAAAAAAAACAAGCATCATCATCTACAGTAGCATCAGTAGGTGCAGTACAAGAATCAGTCTCGTCCCAATTATCGCTGAATAGTAAATGAAATATGATGGTGTAAATTTTGTAAAATGTATATAGGTAGACGGTAAATTGGAAAAAAAACGACTGGTGTAACTCAGCGCTTTCTTCTGTTCAATCCTAGAATATTTACACAAAATTTTGTTGTGATTCACTTATTTATGTAATGACTTATCATATTCGAAAACCGTAATACATTTGCAAAACAATTACACAAAGCTTTACTGTAGAACTGGTTTTTAGCCAAGTCGTTGTCATTCCAGGTGAATCAAATGTCGTGCGCAACCGTAGTAACATTAAATTTAGACTGTTCAATAAAATGTTGTTTAATAGAAGAAGTGTTGTGATATTTTCTCAAGCGTTTACTGATAAAAACGGCACGATGAGTTATATCAGTATGATATAAATCTTTTTCACGAGCTGATGCTTTATCCTCTTCGATTTTGCAAATATTGCTTCTTGTGCCATCTTTTGTTGCCGCTTTTAACGTTTTCACAAAGCACAGTTAAACTTGGTAAGAAATTTAACGTGATTATGAATCCGGAACGATTAAATTGCGATTTCGAACAACCAACCATTAGTTCATTTAATGATGTATTTTCAAATATTAAGATCAATGGCTGTTTCTTCCACTATGCATAATCACTATGGAGAAAAATACAAGAGATTGGTATGAGTCGTTATTTTCTTCAAAAGAAAGATAATGATAATATATCGGATGTTGAACGTAAGCGAACCGATCATTGGTTTCTAGGAGCTATTGGTTTAGCATTAATTCCGGCAGATATTGTTGAAAGTACATGGGTGGATATTATAGATTTACATACTCCAGATTATGCCGATGCTGTTACATTTAACGACTATCTGGTTCAGGCATACGTTGATAGAGATGTTACATTATTTGAGATTGAAACATGGAATGCTAATAATGCCATCTTAAATGATTTACCGAGAACCAACAATCACGTTGAAGGTTACAATAGTCGCTTAGAAAGTATTTTTCCATTGCACCCGCATATTTTTGAATTTGTTGAATTATTATGTGATGAACATGTATATCAACATTATCAAGCTGAAGAATCCGATATTCAGACGCCAAAACGAAAAAAAATCTATAATGACATTGATAATAAACTAAAGCAATTACTTATTAGTCATAGTGGTGGTGTGCTGACTAATGTTCAATTAGCTATTAAATGTGGTAGAGCTGTGAAAACAAATCCGACTAAAAAATAAATTATTTTTTTGGTTACTCATCTGTTGTGAATAAAATATGTGAAAAATTAGTTATCTTTCTCTGAGAATTAAATATATATACAAATTTAGTTGGAACGAATTGAGAAAAAAAATTTATGGGACGAACTGAGAGAGACTAATTTGGGACGAATTGAGAGTAAACCATCTGTAGATTAGCTCATGTTTCGTGTGAATGGGACTGTGGTCATACAAACATAATGCATATTTTCATTTTCATATTATAAATGTAAGATTGTTATAAGACAGCTGTTACAGACACATTTATATGACAGGCATAATGTATAACTCATAAGGGTAATACAAATTATATTAATTCGACAGTATGAACGATCACATTGTAGTAGCAGATTGAAGATATGGATAAATAGTATTGTAAATGTAGTGTTTGACTGTACAATGTGTGAAATAATTAACTCAACTATACAGTGCAAAAGACACTAACGATATATGAATAAAGTTGTAAATGTCGTGTTTAAGTCTACAATTTGTAAAAGAAATCACTAAACTGCAAAGTATAAAAAAGTACGAACTAAAAATTAAACATGTAAGGAGTGGAAAGTACCTTCGAACAATGATGGTATTCAAAAAATCACTGTCCCTCATATCAGAGAACGGTGTTACAAGACGCACATGGTTTTGTGGAATGTCACCTAATGGAACACGCCTTTTCTCACTTTGATGTTTTAACTGAATGATATTAAATTAAAAGGTAAGGTAAGTCAAACGATAAAGCTTAGACGATGGCTTAACAGAAACATTTCTTCTAATGGCCGATACCTAAAGGCACAAGGTATATATTTCTCAAACAGGATTTATTGTTTCTTCTGTTTTCTTATTGTTATTATGGTTTCAACTATTGGTGAATTAATATCTCGTCTTCCATATCCCTTCGATTTTAAATTAACAAACCTTTTTTCTAAAAGTTCTTTTTTCATTCTCTCTCTTTTGTATTAAAATGGCGTAACAGAAACCTCTGTAATTTGCTAACAAATGTTTCAACATTGGCTACAAGTAAATACTAAGCATCGGAGCCGGAATCAATCTGCAAAATTCTAACATGTTGTCGACGAACCTCTAGTATATTAAGTCCTTGCAAATCAAAAAAGTTAAATTGACCGGTAGCTATCTATTGTTGTGCACAACAACAAACTCAGGGACCACAATTTCGACCGTCTCGTTGCAAAACAATGTTTGGATTTCAATTACAGTATAATGACCTAAAGGATCTATGTAATAGATATCTGGATACATTACCCTAGAAGGGTCGTCTGAATAACAGATTATTAGTATTGTCCAATGAATACGATCTAAATTGATTGGAAGTATAATTTCATTCGGTTGGGTAACAGTGGTATTTGCTTTCTCTGTGATAATACACTGCAAATACAACTCAACATCATTGGAACCTGGATTTACTTCACGAGCAGTATGATTTGTACCTACCATGCAGTGTAGAACCTGGAATCTGCGGTTGATCATTTCATTCATAGCTTGGTACTCGGCAACAAAATAACGAATAATAGTTTCTATGTTATCTGCCATGTACCAATTAGTAGCTTGTTTGTATGTCATATCATATTTCGCATATTTTGGAAAAGGTTTATCCTTTTCCGAAGTTGGTTTCGGGCGTTTACTTTTCATTTTTTCATTCCATTCAGTAGATTTAGGCGTCGTTGAATGTATACCTTTTTCCGCCGGTGTGATACGAAGCGATAAATCCAGTTTCTCTGCTATTTATTAGTTATTTATTATTATTAGTTATTTTTTTTGCAATTTCATTAGATTCGGCAGTTAAAGTAGCATCATTTGCTATATAAAGAGCCACCGAAATGCCAAAATCTTCATGAAAACTGTAATAATTATGAATAAATACTGTATGAAAAGATTGTTCATCATCAAAGTTTACATAACATCTATCGATACAAGTAAACTCATTGGTTGTTGGTACATCGTGAAATAAATTTAGAAATCTCACTTCTAGAAAACTTTCATCAATTAAATGACTTTTATTATCGGACAATGAATTTTCATTAATATCTGCTACGATTATTATACGGTTTTTTTCACCAATAACGTGTGTAATCGATTGTAAAGCACTTAAAAAATCTGTTTTGCTGTGCTTGGCATGTCGATAAACCACTAAAACATGCAAATTTATTGTTGGTAAATGAACAGTCATACATTCTACACTAAATGAATCTGTAAGTAGAACTGATTCAAATGGTATACCTTCTTTAACATAAACACCTACACCACCATGACCTAATGTATGAAGAGCATGAGTACTTTCGAAACATTCCTGACGAGTGCGATGAATAAAGTTATAACCGTTCAGTTGAATACCATCAACATAATTACTATTTGATAGCCATGTTTTCACAAGCCAAAGAACATTCGCATGAAGTAAATTATAATGATTAGAAACATCTTTAAAATGAAGAACAAGACCTTCAACATTTAAATATACAATATTAAAATGATTTTCGTCGACTATTAATTTTGGTAGTGGCACAAATCTTTCTTTTTTTTTCGACTGCCTTATATAAGATTCTTATAACATTTCTATAGAATTGCCGTAAGATCGGTCGACTAGGGCCAAAACATATCAGCACATGAAAGAGTGATAAAAAATGTAGGCGTGTTTAACTGTTTTATGTAGCCAAACTGGCATGCTGCCAGTACTGCGGACTTCCTCTTACATGCTGTAAATATCTAAACACTATATCATTTCTCATCAACCGTCTCAAACTTTCATCATATTTTACTTGTCCAACAGTTATACGATCTTTTCCTGGAAATTGTTTTCTTAAAGCAAAAGATACACTGAGTATGCTTTTTTTAAATCGTTAAGATATTGATGAAAAAAAACATATGTAGCATCCTCTGCGATCTATTTTATAGAGAGAGATCTATTTTTCTTCTCTCGTATTAAAATTCTATTCTTAACAAAGTCACGTTTTCTTTGACATTAAATTTCTCTTGAAAAAAAATAGGCGCCGGACAGTTGAATGCACGAAAAATTTCAAAGTCCAAAATACATTTTTCTTTCGCTTGTGGCACTTATGGCATCGAATCTGGACCTTTAGTTGAAAAAAAAATGTGCATTAATCGATCTCCAATGTTGGGAGAATATTCTACCTTTTCCAGAACTTTTCTAACTTGCACAGTTCTCTAGATCACGAGGTGCATATTTTGCCAAGAAAATGGGGACGACTAGGTATGCACCAGTTACAGTTTTCACAGTTACAGTTATAACAGTTACACAGTTATGACAGTTACAGTTTTACAGTTAACTGTAACTGGTGCATGCCTAGGGACGACAGAAAGAAGAAAATAAAACTAGAGAGCAATT